CCATTTTATTATCAAGTGGTGGTGTCCTAATAAATGTGTAAAATTTGGCATGTAATACTTTTTTCTTGTTTCATACCCACTGAACTGTACTGACCGACCCTTATTAGTGCTCACTAAACTCTGGAATAGAGTACTAATTAACTTCCTGGGTAATAGTAAAGTCTGAAACTAAAGTAGATTCTGATTGTGGTTATTTTAGATGTTTTTGTTTTGATCTACATTTTGCGTAATTTGTTGCAGGCTTTTATTCGAATTCTGGAAGCAGCAATTCTATTTTTGTCTACTCCAAAGGGGGAGCCTCTTAATAGATTTTGTGTTTCTTCTAGCATTATTAGCTACGTCTCTCTCTTAATAGGAGAATTAGGTATGCAATTACCATCCCTATTTCCATATATGATTGTTTTTGGAAAATAATGGGACTGTAGAAGAATTTTTGATTTAATTTCTATTTTGCAGGTCGGAAGCGCAGCCGTAGTGCCTTGCTGAAGCTTTATTTGTTTGGGTCATCAATTGCTACTGTGATCTCAGTGGCTTTTCTCATCAAGAGTGAAAAACTATTTGAGGTGAAATAATTTAGAGTTTTCTTCAATCATGTGCATGTTTGGCTTATATTATAATAACATTATAATTTGAAGTCAAAATCAAACAGAAATTCCAACCACACATTCACAATTACTACCCACTTATTGATCCTCACATTTCATGGGTCCCAATACTCCTTTTCATCATAATCCCATTATAATTTCTCCTAAACAAGCACCATACTTTTTTTTATTGATGGGGTGTTATATTGTAGTTATAGGATATGAGTGTTTTGATATCGCTGTAAGTTAGAAAGAGGAAGACAATGTTAGTTATTATACAAAAGGGAAGGACCATTCTTCAAGTTTCTAAGTAAATAATGTGTTCAAACTGAAAATTGTTCCTAGACGAAGTAAAAAACTATGGGAACATTGAAGTGTAGAGTGGTTTCTTTTTGAGTTAGACTTGTTGCTAAAGATAAATGTTCTTTTATGGTTTTAGACCATTTACATATTTCTTACTTGGTTGAATCTGGAAGGGTTCAAACTGCAAGTACATTTATTATCCCATTGAACATTCTCCATATTGATTTTGTAACATTGCTGCGAAACCTTGCGGATAAATTACACTTAGTTAAAGCTGGAGACTGTTTTCATCCTACTTTCTTTCACTTTGTGCATCTTAGGTTACTCTTGGCATTAAATGAACTGTAAGATCTTTACATTTTCCTGATACATTAATTTGCGTTGTGGTATTAAATGAACTGTGTGATTTATGCGTTTTCTGATTCATTAATTTACTTTTTGGTGTTTGATGCATTAATTTACTTTTTGGTGTTTGGTTTCTCTTCTATGTGGCCCACGAAAAGCTTGTTAAGCTGGGAAAACTTTTCCCATGATGGGGATTATTTTCATTTCAATTACTATTAAAATTTAAATAGGATTTGAATTCACTCACTTGATACACATTTTATAGAATGTGTTAACAATAAAAAGAAAAGATAAATATATATATATATATGTATATATATATATATATATATATATATATATTTGATGTGGAGTTGGAGTTGAAGTTGCAGCAACTTCTATGAATTCAGTCCAATATATGCATTGCTGAGTGTTAGAGGATTTCTATGATTTTATAATCAAATGTATTTTGATCTTTTCAGTAGTTCCTCAATGTGTGCCCATAATCCAGAGGTCTTATTTTTGGTTTGTGTGTGTAGTTTACTCTTCTAGGAAGAGTGCTTATTGATGGAGAATAATCTATAGCAGTTAAAGATTATAAATCTTTAACTTTCCGAGTTTGAGTTTCTAGTCCTTTTTTCAGTAGGAATTTTTTTGGATATATAAATATACTTGTCGAGTCTCATAATTTTGTAGAGTCAATCAGTATGACCGATATTGTATTGTGCGATTTTGCCTAACCCTTTTAATGATAGGGCTCCTAGGCATCTTACTGAATAGTTCTATTCAAAATGTTCTGATTGCAGTGACTAGTGATTGAAAGATGGGAGTGTTGCTTGATGAGTAGTGCATTTAGGACGTCCTAAGTGAGCTCACCTAATTAACTTTCCATCCCCTATGAGTTCCTTCATAGACTCCCCAGTCCTCCATAACTATCATCTGATTTGTAAAAGAATGAATAATGATCAATGCCAGCCATCTGGCTATGCTTCTGAACATAGTGGACTTTATCCATTCTTATTCTCTGCAAAATAAAATTGTATTTGATACGGAAGAAACATGGGGTTTCGTGAGATGGAGCCTGTTAAGTGAGGGAGCTGTTTAAATTAGTGGGGGCATAATATCAGGGATTTCTGAGAATAAGCTGTTAGGGCCAATAAAAGGGGTGGGAAAGGGGTGGGGATCTGTTAGTCATTCAAATATTATGAGTTGTTTTGGCGAGAGATGCCTCTTTAAAGCACAAGAGTGCATTTGTACTGCCTTTTGTTCTAGTATATACTTTGCTGTTATGGGTTACTTTTTGTAATTCATTCAGTAATTTACAATTCAATTGTCTTCCAAATATCACTAATTATAAAAAATGTGACTGAGATTTTATCATTTTTCTTATATATATATATATATATATATATTAATAGATTCTTTACATCCTTTTTTAAAGACCATTTTAGCTGTTAATTTTTCTAGAAACACTTTTTGTGACAAATGTACATTGGTTCATCATGGTTGTTCATTTTTATTGTTCATCATAGTTGTTCATTTTTATTGTTTAACAAAGAGTAGTTTTCCTTTGCACGACACACTATTTACAATGCATCTACATCTCTTTGATATATTGAAGTCAATATAATATGATACTATTTTTGCTTTTGTGTAACAGCTCATGGAAGATTTGAGTAAGTGGGAGTCATCGGCAATTAAGATATTCAAGTTTGCTGCTGTTCTACTTGGTCAGTTTTGCTTATTTAGCTCATATTCCTTACGTTAGACATGATATGCATTATAAATTGTTGTTAAACCATTTTTAAAGGGGATCATATATTTGCAGGTGTAGTAGTACAGATATTCACAATTGTTGTGACCTCCTCCCTTGTGAGCAATATGGCTCCTCCCAAGAGGGCTTCCTAATGTTTCCTGTAATTATGCACTAATAAGACAACTGTTATGGCTAAGAGAAAAGGCTTTTCCCTACATCCTTGTTCTTTCACATGTTTGCTGCCTATAGAGAGTGCAGTTTCTTCAATTGCCCTGGTAATCAAGAATTTTGGTTTCGGATAATTTATATCGCTTTATTGACCGAATTATATACTTCCATGATGGTTTTTTCTTTTTCTTTTTTAAATGTTTTACTTGTTTTATCAAGTTGTCTTCTATGGTTTCTGATGTGAAATTATGTCTATTTTAGGAGAAACAGGATTAAAAGCAGAATTTGCTTTAGTCTAGGTCTGTTTGGTTTTATTAACCAGGATTGACATTTTAAGTATCCATGTTTCCTTAGATTTAAGTTCTTTACCCTATAAAAGGGATTTTAGGGTATTGATATATGGCTAAACATAACATTATTACTGTTCCTTTTGAAATTTTCTTATTCTTATTCTCTCTTTCTCTTGCTCTCTCTTTCTAGTCCTCTCCTTTTCTGCGCCACTTCTCTATTGCCATCCCGATTTGTCTCCGTTAGCAAGTTATTTTCATGTAAAATATATTCTTGGAAAAACTTTGAGAATCACCTCTTCTTCTGGGAAATCAAATGAACATGCTGAAACTCTCTTTCAGATTTTTTATCTTACGATCATGATGTGAGGTATTAAGCCCTTGTTTGACCATTCTTTCTGTCAAATAGGGGTTAAATGTTCAGGAAAATAATCAACTAATAAAATTTGGCCTTTTCATGGAGTATACCCCATAATCAAGATTAATAAGCAAGTAGGTTTAGAATTTGCTCAAACCAACTAATTTGATTTTGATTTTGAATTGGAGTCGAAACCAGTCCAAATCAAATCAACTCATTCTAACTCTTTTGACTAATAAATAAGATCATGCAAAGAAAACTTAACATAATGAGTGTGTGTGAGAAAAATTCCAATGTTATTACTTACTGAAAACATCGTAGATTGAAAGGAATCGAGATATAATTATGGGATTAGTGCTTATTTTGTTATTTTTATTTTTCTTAAAATAAATAAAAAAAAGGTAAATATGTAAGTGGATTAGGTTGTTTTGGTTTGTAGATTGAAGGGAATCGAGATATAATTATGAGATTAGTGCATATTTTGTTATTTTTATTTTTCTTAAAATAAATAAAAAAAAAAAGGTAAATATGTAAGTGGATTAGGTTGGTTTGGTTAACCAGCAATTTGAGATTTCAAATCATGACTGAATCAATTCATCATGGTTTTGTTCAAAATTTCTAGGGTCACATGAGTGTTTAAAAAAAAAAAAAAAAAAAATTTGTTTTTGTTTTATTATTTGAATGCTTTGGTCAAGGTAGTTGAAGCCCACATCCAAATAAGAAACCTACCCAATTGAAAACCATTCGAAAACACTATTTTCCCCCATTTTGAAACCTGAAATCCTTTTACATCCACTTGAAATACGAAGAATATGTTCTGAAAATTTTGTCTGGTTATCAACAAAGAGTCAAACGATTGAATTGAATCGGGTCGACCTAGAAGTTAAAATAATTAAATAATTAATTTATCAACAAAGAGTCAAACGATTGAATTGAATCGGGTCGACCTAGAAGTTAAAATAATTAAATAATTAATTTATCAACAAAGAGTCAAACGATTGAATTGAATCGGGTCGACCTAGAAGTTAAAATAATTAAATAATTAATTTATCAACAAAGAGTCAAACGATTGAATTGAATCGGGTCGACCTAGAAGTTAAAATAATTAAATAATTAATTTAAACATAGATATATAGACATAGTTAAAGATTTCTATGGATTAAAATAATAGTCTAAAATCCATTAGTTAACCAATACTATTTTATGGAGCCATTTAAACTTAAATGAGAATTAAATAGGCCAAAAACTATGCAATACACTATTTTTTTTAGATAAATATGAAATTTTATTGATTAAAATACATATACAAGCACACTGGTCATATTTGGGCAAATCAAAATCACGTGACTCAAACACTACTCAAGGCATGCCTGGGCAACAAAAATAAAGATGTACAAACGATATGATTTATAGACCCATTTCTTTGTATCTATATGTTTTCTTTTCTTTGTAAAATTAGTTTGAATTTTGGATATTATGACTTAAACGGAGCACAAAGGCTTCGCCTGGAGACAGTGGCGGCTCCGATGATTATTGGGCGACAAGAGAAGTGGCAACAATGCTTATTGTGTACTTCGCCCTCTCTCTCTATTTTTTGGGACAAAATTTAACTGTTGAATTGACAAAAATTGTACCTGGTTCACTGATTTCAAGTTGAACTTGACGGTTTATAGGAGTTTGTGTCGGTTTTCTTTCTAGTTTATACATGATCGGACTTGATTTCGGCTTTGTTCTTAGTTTTTTCCGACCGAACCGGCCCATCCGATCAGATTTTCAAAGCACTTATATGCTGTTTCAATTAATGGAACAAGGAATTTTACTCATACTTCTATATCTCTGCGAAGATATGAATGAATGAAAAAACAGGAGACAAAATTAAAATATCAATCAAGATTTCGTTAAGCGTAACTAAACTCCTTGGAATTCCCACTACAGCTGGCAGGCTAGCCAGGCCACCTTGTTGAAGATATAGGGCTTGTTTGGGAGCGATTTTTCTTCTTAAAAAATTGATTTTTTGATCGTTGTTTCACTATTCCGACCGTTATATTTGACTTCTTCTCTCACAGGTGAACATCACTTATCTCCTAACGGTCAAAAAATAAATCATCAAAATCACTCTCAAACAGGCTTCTAGTGTTGCTGCCAAATCCATTTGTTGATTTATTTCATTTACCTGGCTATTCATGAAACGTGAGAGGCAGATGCTTCCGGAAGAAATTGATACATGTATCTAATAGTTTACATAATGGTTTATATATACAGGATGTGGTGAAATATTATTGGATAAGAATTTTTCAACCAAATGAAATTTTAAAAAAAAAGAAGAAAAGACCCTTCGTCATTCTCTTTTTGACACCATGTCTCTATGTAAATCATTATGTAACTTCATTATATGTAAGTTTCGATCTCATAGTTGGATGGGATTGCAAAAATACAAGGTGTATGATAAGCACATAATCTAGATAAGTTGGGTGAAAATTGGTAAAATCCTAATTTCTGAATCCTTTAATGATCTTGAACAACACGTTCTTCTAAATCAAGCGACCCAAATATTCGAAAGGAATTCTTGTATTTTTCTCTAAGATTTGAAGTATGATTCGCTCCACCACAATTAACTATTTTTTTTTAGTTTTCTTTTGTGTTTGGCGTGGACGTACCTGGTCGGATTTTCCTCAAATTCCATTTGTTGTCCCTGTACTTCTTATTTCTTAGATTTTTCACTTCAACTTTTCTAATCTTTCATTTCGGTTCCTACACTTCATAAATTCTTCCAATCAACCTCTAGTTTCATCCAATTGAGTTCCATAAGTTTTTGGCCTTCATCTAAGACCATCTTTTTGTCAAATTATCCAAATTCACTTTCTTTTGCTTTGTTCACCTTTAAACTGACGATTTGTCATGCGACGGTAAAATATAATGCAAAGTGAGTAAAAATTCAATAAACTAATCCCAATAGCATAGCTTTATGAGGTAGATAAAAATGTAAAATCTACTTCTCACATTCCAGATTAAATTCAAAATTAGTAATTCTTTTACAAATAACTTGTTCTTCTATTTCAGGCAAAAAAAGGGGGGGGGGGGGGGGGAAAAGGCACGAAAGAAAAGAAGAGGGGGGGGGGGGGGGGGGGAATAAGAAATGAAACATTGAAGATATTTTTATGTTTACTATAGTGTGCCTGAACCCAAATTCTTTCATGACTTGGTTTAATTTAAAAAAAAAATTAAAAAAATTCTTAAATAGTATTATAACTCAAGAAGAAATCAAGATTTATGTGACGTGTAATTCTGTTTCGATTTATTGTTCAGTCTTAGGTCCAACAAGTTGAACCTTTATTAATAAAATAAGATGATATATTTCGTTTTTGTATTATAGTACAATGCATGCATGTTCACGTGGGGATTAATCGACAAATTGATGAGAAAGTAGCCAAAATACATTGGACTTTCTGCAATGCTTGCTGTGGGGACTAATATCCTAATTTATAATCGAATTTCATCACCAATTAATCTACTTGTACAGATAGGTTGTTGGACGTGGCATGCATCTATCAACCTATCTGTAAAAAAATTCTATACATGTAATAGAATCCTTTCATCACATAGTAATATGGAAATCACCAATATAGACATCAATTAATGATGAAATTTGAGAGAATTGCCTTAATTTTGAGAAAAATTAAAGTGACGTTACCCTATTGAAATAAATTGAAGTAAAGTTACCATGGTTAGCCGACTGACATTTACGATGAAAATATAGTTACTACATTTAGACAGAAGAAATCACTGGTGGATGTCAATTCTACTTAATAACTTCATCCATCATAGAAGTTGATAGTTTCCTACAATAACTTCTCTTCAATAGATGCGAAGTTATTCAAACAGATATTAAACTCACCATTTTATTTTCTTTATCTTTGAAATTGAATATGTATTGTGACCATAAACGGTTACAATACAAACTGAACAGTATTCACAGACTCGATCCTTTCCGAATAACTTAGTGGAACGTACAGTTGTGACATTAATTCATAAATAAACTCTCAGAGTTTTTGCTGAATTTAGGGCTAATTGGAGGGCAGCATAACTATTGATCAAAGCCAAGGCATTGCTAGTGAGATGAGCAACATTCACAATTCGTGCCCTGATAAGTCACAAAACTTTTCATGTGAATGAGTTTTAGTAGACACGTCAACAGTCTGAGCAATCAAGATTACGAAGACGAGACGAATAAGATTTCGCAGAATATGTTGACGAATAAAATTACATTCACTTTCAATACATTGTATTTGCTGATGAAAAAAATCACTATGAGCAATCAGAATAGCATTTCGATTATCACAATGAAAGCTTTGCATAAGAGTGTATGATTCTCATGTAATGTAATAATCATCTCAACCAAATAATTTTAGTAGTATATGCTAAAGCCCAATACTCCTACCATAATGAACTCTGACTGTTTGCTTCTTACTTCACCATGAAATAAGAAAATCATCTTAGAAGAAACAGTAGCCGGAGGTGGATTGTCGTTAGTTGGATCATCAGCCCAATTAGCCTCAAAGTAGTCTCGTAACTCAAGAGGTGACTAAGTCGAGAACCGAAATTTACAAAATAGAGCTCCTTTGATGTAGAATAGAATACAAAGAACAACATCAAAGTAAGTAGTTTGATGAGCTAACATTAATTGAACATGGACG